TTAAAGTAAACTCTGTGATGCTTCTGCATTGTATTTTTGAAAATCCACAGTTCAGTGTTAACCTAATGCTCTCTCTAGTAAAACCACAGGATTGCCAGAACCAGGCAAATATTTCTAGCCATTCACCCACTAAACTAGCATTATGAGAGAGGAACTGCCTCTTGCTGATCAAGGGATATTGGGATCATGGCTATTGGCAGTATTTGTATGTATATTTAACTCAAGAGTAGGGCCAATTGACATCATAGGGCCTCCATAGGATCAGCAGTCACAAGGCTGTCATGGATAGGGTATTTTGGAGTGCTTTCATTTATAGGGTCATATCCTCCATAAGTTGGATATGACAGCACATAACAACATGTGAGCGGCCACCCAAATTTTGAACAGCTGAAGTATCCCTGAATGCTGTCTCTTGATATCACACTTTTCTCTATGTTTAAGATTAATTTTAAATAATAAAACTACTCAAGTCACATGTAGCAAATCAGGCACAGGCAGAAGTTAACTCTGGATTTACTGGTAGACTTCTTTGTGATTTTCAGTAGATTAGCAGATAACAATTGACTCCCAATTGTTTAGCAGTGGCAGCAATGAAAGCACAACCCCTCCACTCTAAATCATATGAGGACAGTGAGCACCATTCACCCTGGGAACTTGAAACAAGTTCTTTCATGCTAAGTATATGTCTTTTTCAGCAGGCTATAGGCAATGTGCCTCAGGTTTGTAGTAAAGCATTGTAGAGCCCACAAGCCTGAAATCTGCCTACACCTGACCTAAAGGTTACATCATGTAAATTTTTTTGGTAGGTAGGTATGAAACAAAGGCAAAAACAGTCCTTTCAGATGATGAACCTTTCCATAGCAATTCAGTGATCATTGAGGTACTAGGTATTTTCAGGACACTGTGCCATTATGGTCCAAACATGTGCTTTACTGTGAATTATCTATATTTCAACACTAGTACTATGTAGCAATTTTATATAGAACTGAAGGGAAATTCTCAATAGTGAATTGTTGCTGAAACAAATTGGCATGTCTTAATCAGACTTTTACAAGGGGTGCTGTAACAAGGTTCAGTTGAGTTGAAAGTCAGGTTACAATGATCATATTCAGGTGTTAGAGCTTTCGAATAAAGGTGTACTGTTTTTGTGTAAATGAGAAGTGTGATCTTTACCAAAACAGGAATGGGCACAGGAATATACAGTATCCTTTAGCATTCACGCAGTATACTCTTACTATGGTGAGCTGATTTTCTGTACTGTGTCCTATCCATTTCATGCTTGATCTTTTTCTCAGGGTGAACTGGATAGTTTCAGAGGCATTGTAGGTGATAGTAAGTGATGAAGTTCCTGATTAATAGCTGTTTTAGACCTTAATTTTCCCTCTGTTCTTCCTAGAGCCAGTCTCTCTAAGAAAATAAATCCATGCCTGACAAGGACAGTAACCTCTATTGCATCAGTCCAACAAATTGAATACCATTGTGCCACTATCAAAGAAGCTCTCAGCCAATGGTCTGTTCAAGGTCTTGCATAATTATTGTAGGTTTGAGTTTCCAAGAGTGTTGAGCTTCACCTCTGTGATTATCTGATGTGAAAGCAAGCTTTGGGTTTCATGTGGAGAATCTCACAATAAAACTATTCAGTGCTGTGCTTTTATTAGTTTGAACAAGTATCTACAGAGTTCTCTTAGCTTTGTGACTTTGCTAAAAGAATTTAAAGGCAACCAGCTTGCAAACTGAACTGTTCCAGGAATTTTGAGCAGAGCAATTGTTTTCCACCATTGAGAGAGAGAGAGAGAGAGAGAGAGAGAGAGAGAGAGAGAGAGAGAGAGAGAGAGAGAGAGAGAGACTGACTGAGACTGTTGGCTCTTCTGTTTTACCATTCTCAATTGTAGTGGGTTGGTTGACTTAAAAAATTCAGTGAAATTCCATTCTGTGCTAACAGGAATTTCTATCTTTCCCCCCTTCCCTCAAAATATATTCTGTAAGTCCATTGATGTGTTAGTTAATTGCTGCAATGTTTAAATATGAAATATAAAGTGTTCACTGAGAGGTTATTGGCCTTGTGGAGAATGTTTTATGAACCAATATGTTTGTGTGAGTAAAAGAATGTGAAACTCAACCAAAAAATATTTCGCTTTTAACTACATTTTTATCAAAGGATCCTTCTTTCCCTATTTATTAACAGTAATATTAGACAAGGTGAATGATAAACATGACAATAGAAGAGAGAGATTATATATTACATCATGATTAGAGCATACAAATACACAGGCATGGCTGCTATTTTTATCCTGGATAGTTGTTACATTTACAGATGAAAATTGGTATATGCTTTGAGGATAGATGAGTTTTAAACATTTCATTGTTACAGAGGCAATAAAAGGGAGGCTCTTTGTGTAACAAGATTCCGGTCTATCAGACCGCTTATCTGATATGTTAGCTTTTCCATAGTGAGGGTACTACCCAGGATGTTCCAGTTGTAGAGATCCATCATACTTTCAAGTACAACTTTCCATTGCCAAGTTATTTCCATGTATAAATGGAAATGTATAAGTAGATTTTTATCATTTTACTCTACTTTCTCATTAAACGAGGACCAACATAGGCAAATATAACATCATGACACTGGGAATATTTATTTATTTAAGATATTTGTATGCCCTCCTTTGCGAGAGCCTCAGGATGGCTTACATAAATAAAATTCCAATACATAACAGTATAACATAAATTAACGACCCACTCTGGCTGCAATTAAAATATGGTAATAAAATTCAATATTAAAACTTGTTAAAATATTGATGAAATAAAAAGGTCTTAACCTGGTGCCGAAAAACATAATAATGGCACCAGGCGGACCTCTCTGGGGAGTGCATTCCATAGATGGGGTGCCACCGCAGAGAAGGCCCTCCTCCAGGTACCCTGTCTTCTAATCTTTCACAAAGGGTTTCCAGAAGAGGGCTTCTGCTGCCTATCTCAGGGGGTGGGAGGGCAAATAGGGAAAAAGGCACCCTTAGGTATCCTGGTCCCAAGCCGTTTAGGGCTTTATAGGTAATAATCAGCACCTTGGATTGAGCCCGGACTTTGATGGGAAGCCAATGGAGTTGATAGAGGACTGGGGTTATATGAGAATAACGCCTAGTCCCCGACAGCATCCTGGCAGCTCTGTTTTGAACCATCTGAAGTATCCAGACCATCTTCAAGGACAGCCCCACGTAAAGCGCGTTACAGAAATCCAACTGGGAAGTAACCAATGCATGTGTTACTTTTGCTAGGCAAACTTCCTCCAGGTAGGGACGCAGCTGATGGATTAGCCGAAGCTGAAGGAAAGTGCTCCTCGCCGCCACTGTCGCTTGAGCTTCCAAGAACAGCTTTGGGACAAGGAGCACTCCCAAGCTATGGACCCTGTCCTTTAGAGGGAGTGCAACCCCGTCCAGGGCAAGGCCCAAGTCGCCTACCCAGGAGCTCGAATCACCCACCAACGACTGAGTTTCAGTTTATTGGCCCTCATCCAGCCCATTACCAGTTCTCAAGTGTTCATGTGGCTGTTACTGTTAGGAGACCTTCACTGAAGTTTGAGGGGGGAAGGTCATGCTGCCAAGGAACCCAAGATGTAACTATATCTAGGGAGAAAGAATCTCCACATCCATGCCAGATGGAATATGTTTGCTGGCTTATCTTTCAGTGGTAGGATGGCTAAGAGAGAATGCTGGATATTGGAGAGCGTGTTAGTAATAGCTCCTGAACATTTCCACTTCTTCTAATATATATGCAAACAGACACACACATGCATAACTTCTGAAAGTATCACACAACCTGGTAAGGTTTGACTGACTGCATATACTTCTTTCCCCTCAAGACCATGATCCTGTGGACACTGTGACCATCAAGTCCAGATTTTTATTTTACTTGTTTCCCTTCTACTTCCTCTACTCTTCAGCTTTTTGTAACATTTTCCCTGAAGATCTTGAAAGCTAGCAGACTTTTTGTGATCATTTGGTTGGGCTAATAAAAGTATTGCACTAACATAGATTATGGGATCTCAATTATTTCTTAATACTGTATACATGAACCAGAACTTAATTTGTAGCAATGCAGGTGCAGCACATGTAGCAGGAAAAATGTATGATAGTGTCTCATTGGGGATAAATATTTGAAGCCCTACCCCATCATTAACTTGTGTAGGGTGTTATGAACTGCTACGATTTAGTGAGCAGATCAGGAGCATTTCTAGTTGCAGGACTCTTAGCATCACCAAACTTAAGGCATTGTGAAGCAATTTCATCTTTACCTCATTAATAGATTGTATGTCCATGATGGCAAAACACAGAGTTGCCCATATCACCTGGACTAATCCTAACACTGTGAATGAAGCAAAGTAATTGCTTAATAAAAGCCTTTGTGTAGAAACGCATCTGTCATCTTCATTGTGAAGCTAATTGGATGTCCTTGGCCAGTAACTATTTCAAAGCCTAAACCACAGGAGAAAAGAAAGAGGAAAAGAACTAACTATGCCAGCTTGGGTTCCTTGAGAGAAAATAAAAAACTACTTAACAAAAATAAAATTATTTAAAGATTTCTAGTGTGTAAGATAAATATTGCACTTTTCTAAAAAGGAAATATTCAGATTGTACATTGTTTTAGATATTAACGTTAAAAATGACTTGTAGAGTTATATAATTTTTCAGTGGTGACCTTGAATCAAATATATTTAGGTAGTTTTCTTCCACTAGTTATCTAGAAGTAATATATTCTAACAACCTGTATTCTTCCTTTTTTCTTTCTCTCTTCTCAATTTAGAATGCATCTGTCATTTTTCCCATATGGGTTGCTGTGATCTTCAAACCCCTTACAGCACCAATATGCTGAGATATTAAAAAAAGAAATATTTGCTAATTATTTATTTCCCAAATTTGTGAAAGTAAAAGTAATACTTCTGTGGAAATAGTTATTAATAAAAAACTTCTACCATATTTTCAATACTTAACTATTTTGTATTTCAGGAATGTACCCCTGAGAACCTAGAGCTGAAGAAGAAGATATTTGGGCAGTTAGACCTTATTGTCAGTAATGATACTATCTTGAGCAGCTCAACCTCCTGTCTTTTGCCTACAAAACTGTTCACTGGATTGGCACATGTGAAACAGTGTATAGTGGCACATCCTGTAAGTACAGCAAGATATTTTTCCAGTAATTTAAAAACGTAAGAAGCATCGTGGAACAGACCAAGAGGTGCTTATAATAAGTGATTTTTTGCATTAAATCTGTACTGTTAGTGGCTTATATATCACCTTGGAACATGACTAGAAACATACTTCAATTGAACACATTATCCGTGACCCTCAGCTGGTACATAATCTGAAGCTAATTGTCTCAAATCCAGCAGAGATGATTTAGCTTATAACTCCCATGATTCCCTGCTGTTACGGTTGATGAGAGTTATAGGCCAGAACATCTTCAGGACCACCTGCTGCCTTCCCTTGTTTTTATAACCATAGTGCATCTTCCTGGTTCTTCAGGGGCATAAGAAGCTGCCTTACACAAAATCAAACCATTGGTCCATTTAACCCAGTACTGGCTGCAGCTCTTCTGGATTTCAGGCAGAATTCTTTCTTAGCCTATCTGGAGATGCCAAGGAACAAGCCTGGAACCCTCTGCATGCAGAGGAGATGCTCTGTCACTGTACTTTTCTGCTCCTTTATGACACACATTTTGAACCCTTTCTCCTAACTATTTCTTTTCTCTCATACGTATTTCTGATGATTGAGTCTTCTGACAGCTAAATGCATGATACTCTGGCAATTTTAGGTTTCCCATCAGGTCTGCTACTGTTCTGGAGAACCTGGGGTGTAAGGGAGAAGAGTCAGGAACTGACAGAGAATTTGGGAAGAGTTATTTATTTATTTATTTATTTATTTATTTATTTAAAACATTTCTATGCCACCCCCATCGCAACAAAGCCTCAGGGCGGCTCACAAAGAATACATAAAACATACATAAATAATAATAATATAGCGATTAAAAGAAGAAAAAACAACAACAACAACATTTAAAGGGACACTTACATTTTAGACTTTTCAATGCTCGGTGAACACCAGTTTAGTTCTTCAGATTTTATCATTTTAAATCTATTCCAGTATTTTTGATAATTGCTACTAGTTTTACTTTGGTTTTATTTTAATCATTTGATTTTTATCTCTCCCATAGCCAGGCTCTCTGGAAGGGTTAAAATACAGTTTGTAGTTTTCAGTTCATAATTTTTTGTATTTTGCTTTATTGTTTTGTATTTTATGGTAGCAAGTTGTGGTAAATAGCACAGAGCACTTCAGTTATTGAGACAGTATAGAAATATAACAAATACGTCTGCTAACATTTTCATTCTCTCTCTCACTTCCCTTTCAAATGATCTGTGTGTAGGTAAACCCACCATATTATGTGCCACTGGTTGAATTGGTTCCCCACCCAGAAACAGATCCTTCTACGATGGAAAAAACGTATGCTCTGATGAAGAAGATTGGTCAGTCACCAGTTAAACTGACAAAAGAGATAGATGGGTTTGCTCTGAACCGGCTCCAGTATGCAGTTATTAGTGAAGCTTGGAGACTTGTTGGCGTATGTATGGTTTTATTCTTTAGCTGCTTTGCATATGCTACCCGTTCAGTAGGCTACACTAAACCACTTAATCTGCAATCATATACATGTCTATTCAGAAGTAAGTTCCACTCTGTTGAATAGGACTAAATCACAGCATGGAACTTCAACTTTAACCTAGGATTAAGTCTCATAGAACTCACTGGGGCTTCTGAGTCAGATTGCAGTGTGTGGGATATTTAAGTATTTTTCCACAACTGCATAAGGGACCCTCTCACCATGCAGTGATATTGAAAAACAATGACATTCATATCCACCAGACAAGAGAGTTTATAGATTAGTTAATACTGGAAAAAGAACAGTTATATGAGGAAAACTCCAAAATACTGCTATTTCCTTTATAGCCAAAACAATGAAGTTAAAGTCAGAGAAATTGAGAAAATGTTGCATTCAGAAAGCTGTATGCCTACTTGTAACATTTGTGCTAAGTGAAACAATTATGAACCAATCCTTTAAACAACAGTAAGTTTAGCTGTAAAGAAATCTCTCAAGCTTTGACAGTTATCCAATGCAGAGGAATAAAGACAAATTCCTTCTCCTATTCTCTTTGGACTTTTACCTCATCACCTATTGTAAACATCAGCATTTCCCACAGCTCTGCATTCTCTGCCATGAATTTTGACCTTCCAGCACAAAAAGATGAGCTTTCTGTCCTTGTACTGTCTGGTTTCAAAGTTGAAGGCCATTGATGGCAAGAATCTCTAGCTTTTCTTTCTCCCTGTTTAATTCAAATGTCATTTTAATTGCTAATATTATTTGCTTATTTTATTCTTTGGCCAGGGCGACTTATTTTATATTGTTAATTTGTTTTATATTTTTAGTGTATTATATTTTAATTGATGTTTTGTGAGCCGCCCTGAGGCTTCGGCGAATGGGGTGGCATAGAAATTTTCTAAATAATAAATAAATAAATAAATAAATAAATAAATAAATAAATAAATAAATAAAGTATATTGCCAGAATGGTGGATTCATCACCTGCACACTTTTTATGTCATAGTTATATATGTAATACTTTTGTCAGTGTCAAATACAGCTGCTTCACTTATGGTGGTTCTATTGTGTTCACTGAACCCACCGTTGGCAAAATGTGGAATTTGCCATCATAAAAGTAACCCTAGAAACAAACAGAAACACTTGTTTCTTGAACAGGGCTGTTTAGGAAATCTTCCTTCTGAGCAAATCTTCCTAGGCAAGGAGAGAGTAGAATATCAGCTTCTGTTTTCAGCTAAACATAGTTTGAAATGACCCAGATTTGGAGAAAGATAGCTTCTCTGCAACTTTAGTTCTTGAAGTAGTTATCTGTGCATTCATGCATATGAACACTGCATCTGTTTTAGGAAACTTACACAGCCTCTCCCCTGATCTCTGTGCATATCCCTAGCAGGTTCCAATGTATTCTCTCAGCTCTCATGAGTCTGCAGGCAATGGGAAGGACACAGGAAGAGTGTTTTGATGGAACTCAGATACCATATTAGATGGAAATGCAATATCCAGACAAAGAACCGTCATTTTCCTATGGAAAAACTTGTCCAGTGGATAGACAAGCAAAGCACACAGCTTGCTTGACAGACCAGGTGGCCAAGAATGCTAACTTTTCAGCAAGAGGATGAAAGCTGACCATTACAAATGGCTTGAACAGTTTAGATGTCAGCATTACAAGAACAACTGATAACTTAGAAACTCCACTGAGTGCCCATGCTGCCTTCAAGACGTTTTTCTATAATATTACTGTGCCTGAGTTGTTCCTTCAGGTATGTTTAGTAAATGGCTGTCAGTGCATGCAAGCATTGACTATATAACCTCCTCTCAAACAAGCAGAGAAAGTGTCTGCCCATTGGCTGGAATGCACTACCATATGAGATGCCTTTGCATAAAGGCAATTATTTTTAGATCACCATAATCCCTGAAGGGATCAAACAGTCACAAAGAGTGTGAAAATAAGAAACAAAGGAAAATTAGCCACTGCCAAGAAAAACAATAGCAGAACATGAAAAGACTGAATTAAACCTCAGCAAGTTTCTGAAATCATCTCAAGCAATGACAGAAGTTCCCAACAAGACTACTACAACCATTTATTATTTATTTATTAAAACATTTCTATGCCGCCCCTTGCCGAAGCCTCGGGGCGGCTCATAGCACAAAATAGAATACAATAAAATACAAAAATAACAATATAAAATTAACAATATAAAATATATAACAATATAAAAGAAGTCGCCCTGGCCAGATAAATAAGCAAATATTGTTAACAATTAAAATGACGTTTAAATAAAAAGGTCTTCGCCTGGCACCGAAAAACAAATAACGACAGCGCCAGGCGGACCTTTCTGGGGAGCACATTCCATAGTTTGGGCGCCACCGCAGAGAAAGCCCTCCTCCGAGTACCCACCCTCCTAATTTCTTTCACGGAGGGTTCCCGGAGAAGGGCCTCTCCCGCTGATCTCAAGGGGCGGGCGGGCATATATGGATGTAAGCGCTCCTTCAGGTAACCAGGACCCAAGCCGTTTAGGGCTTTATAGGTCATCACCAACACCTTGAATTGGGCCCGGACTTCAGTGGGAAGCCAGTGAAGCTGGCGGAGTACTGGAGTCATGTGAACATAACGCCCAGTCCCCGTCAGCAGCCTGGCAGCTCTATTTTGAACCAACTGAAGTATCCGGACCATCTTCAAGGGAAGCCCCACGTAAAGCGCGTTACAGAAGTCAAGGCGGGAAGTCACCAGTGCGTGTGTCACCGTCGCCAGGCAGTCGTACTCCAGGTAGGGACGCAGCTGATGGATCAGCCGAAGCTGAAGGAAAGCGCTCCTCACCGCCACTATGGTTCGAGGAGAACTGAGAGAATAGAGGGGGATCCTCTAAGGTCATACCCACTGGGGCAGTGGTGGAGGTTTGCCATCAACTTTCCTCAGCTATGAAAGTTGCATCCATATGTGTGATACACAGTGGCCATGAAGAAGAAATGGTTTTAAGTCTTGTGGAGGGGGTGTCAGTTTCAAAATGTGGCCGGTTATCCTAGCAAGTTCAGAGGAGTTGTTGTTGTTAGTTGTGAAGTTGTGTCCGACCCATCGCGACCCCATGGACAACATTCCTCCAGGCCTTCCTGTCCTCCACCATCCCTCGGAGTCCACTCAAGCTCACATCAACTGCTTCAGTGACTCCATCTAGCCACCTCATTCTCTGCCGTCCCCTTCTTTTGCCATCAATTGTTCCCAGCGTTAGGCTCTTCTCCAGTGAGTCCTTCCTTCTCATTAGGTGGCCAAAGTATTTGAGTTTCATTTTCAGTATCTGACCTTCTAAAGAGCAGCCAGGGTTGATCTCCTCTAGGACTTACCGATTTGATTGCCTTGCGGTCCAAGGGACTCACAGGAGTCTTCTCCAGTACCACAATTCAAAGGCCTCAGTTCTTTGGCGCTCAGCCTTCCTTATGGTCCAGCTTTCACAGCCATACATTGCAACTGGGAGAACCATAGCCTTGACTGTCCGCACTTTTGTTGGCAGGGTGATGTCTCTGTTTTTTAGTATGCTGTCTAGAGTTGCCATAGCTTTCTACAGTTAATATATGTGCATTGTACAGAGTACAATGTTACAACAAACTGAATTAAGTTAAAAATAGAAAGCAATGGTTTGGTCTTCTTGCAGTCACCTCAGGAGAAAGGGGAGGGTTGCGCTTCATGTGCTTCTGTATATAAGAGCAAACTGTGGTATACTGATAAGTATAAACCTGCTCCATTTCTACACTGAATAAATGCTCTCTGGCAGTTTTTATATGTACTTTTGAAATTGTACACCAGTACCCAGCTTTTTTAGAATAAACCAGAATAGAAACATAGAAACAGAGCGAGTCAGAAGGGGTTTCCCGGGCCATCTAGTCTGACCTCTGGCACCAGCTGGCTCTGCTCACGACATGCCCACCATGTGCACGTCCAGCTTATCCTTGAACACCCGCACCGATGGGGCCTCAATGACTACTTTAGAATCTCTAGAATCTGACCTATTCTGTGTGAATACCTCTGAGGTTTATAGGTAGTATAATAGTTTATAGTAAAATTGAAAAAAATGATAGGCAGTAATGCTATATCCGGTTTCCCAAGATTATGCTGAACTCTGTGGGAGTTACTTCTGACTAGGCAGGTATAGGACTGTGTTGTAAGTCATATTTTCTGTAATTTATTTATTTTTTAAAATTACAATCTTATAACATTACTCTTTCTTATGGAGAATTCAGATGGTATAGGCCAGTAAAAATAAGAAGGGAGGATTGGCAAGCTTGAATCTAGAAGTATGCACAATATTTTTTTAAAAAATAAAGAGCTTTCAAAAGCACAGTGTAGACCAGAGCATTGCATACCACCTGGAATGCTTGTTTTAGAAGTCAGACAACATGTAATAACCCAAACCCAAGCTATGTTATTTCAGGCTTGCCTACACCCTAAAAAAAGCAATGCTGGATTTGCACAACCCAGCAAGCTCTAAGCACAAGTGCTGCCACTTCTGGCATGTTCAAAATGGCAGCTGGCAATCTGGTGTGCCCAGTGGGGAAATTAGTGTGCATTATGTGCAAACTGGCCCACTGTGAGTCTGCAATTACACCTATGATTGGGAGTAGTTGAATATTCATGCATCAATTTTAGAAAAAAGAAAAGAAGGTGAGAGACAATAAAATAGATGGAACTGTTCAAGCCTCTTCTAGAGGATGAGAAAAGGATTTTGAGGGGAGGGAATAATTAATACTTCAACTCAGGAATGTTTCAGAAGAAAGGAAATATTAATATTCCTCTTTCCGACCCCCATAATAATGTGCCCTATGTTAAAATGGGTGCACTATCAGTTTTGGGCTGATACTACATGGTAGTGAGAAAACCCCCAGGGAAGTCAAAAATTTCTCCTTTTATCCCTTCCCCACACCTGAAACTTGCCCATACTCAGTGTATGGGACTGCAAAGCTTCTGTTCCAGTCTGCCTTTTTTTCTTTTATCATCATTTTCTCACTAGTTCAGATCAGCAACTGTAGTGCAATGTTCTCTCCATGTATAATGGATATCAGAGACTTAGGAAAATAGGTGTGTTAGAAAACCATTGATACACTTATTTATTTATTAAAGTATTTGTATGCCACCCAGTTGTGCCATAGCACCTCTAGGCAGCTCACAGTCATAAGATAAAACACAATACAATGAATGCCTTAATTGTGGCATTACAAAACCAGAGTATCCTCTCTTTCCTTCTGTGTGTGTGTGCATGCGCATGCACAAATGCTAACAGCATGGATAAGTATTGTCACCTGTAAGATCTCAGAAACTATCTCAAAGGTGCCCATTGTCCTTGCAAGCCTTTATTCTAACATTGGTATAGCAGTGCTAGCTGAAGGGCACAGAAAGTCATTTCCTGAATGATAACATTTGTACAGTGCCTGAGATTAGAAAGCTACAAAGGAACAGGGAGGAAGTTGCCAGTGGACACAGCAGAATTGATAAGAATTACATTAAATTAAGGACTATTTCTGGCATTACATTGGGTACTTACAACATAGGCTGAGAATACATAAGTACAAAAATATTTCAGATTGGTTACTTAATGTCCATTCTCTGGAACAGATCCGAGATGAGGAACTTTAAATATATATTCTAGGCTCACCCACACACATCTAGAACCTGAAATACTGAATATAGATTCTAGACAAATGCCAATTATAGTTTTTTCTCAAGAGCAGCTTTTCCTAACTCCAGAGGCTTTAGACTCTAGTTCTTATTAGCTGCAGCTAAAATGAATGATGGTCAGGGATAATGAGATATGTGGTCCAACACATTTGAAGGGCACCACCTTGGGGAAGGCTGCTCAACAGTTCCACAGTTCCACACAACTGGCTGAATTTGCAACTACTTCCTGGTCCAAAAGGTGCTGCAGGTCACAGTTTCAGTTTTGGGTGGTATGATTCCCTACTGGCAGTGCCAGTTGTACAGAGACAAAACTCCTTAGTGATGTGGCTTTTGAGGTTTGTAGCCATTCCGTAGTAACTATGCTGAGATTTTCTTTCTTTTTGTACTTCCCTTTTATATCACAAAATCTATGGATCTATATGGCATGGTGAAATGTGGCTTTCCTAGCTACCAGTGTATTTTCGAATTTGAGAAAAGTAGGAAAAGAGCTTATATTAAAAATGGCCTTAAACAAAACTGAAACAGACAAGATAATGCACTTGTCCTAATTGGCTTTTGGGGTGTGTTGGTTTATTTAGAAATGTACCTTGTGGATGTAACTGAGTGGATGTAATGCTTTGAAAAGTGTTTCTTTATGTGCCACACAGGCATTTAAGAGTTGCCTAGTAATGAACTCAAGAACCTGGGCATGTTGAGGCCATGCAGATTGCACATATGGTGCAACCAGTTTCAAATGCAGTGTCAGAGCTGCATTTCCTGTATTTAATCATCTTGCCCCAGCAGTATTAATCTTCATGATTTGTACACAGACACACACCACTAATAATGTCAGAATTCCATTTTAAAACTCTAAGATTAAAATAGTTTTAGAAGTAAAGTTGTATTGTTGTGGAAGCCATAATTGTAAAGCAAGAATACTAAAAGCACTAAGAAAAATGTTGACTTCTGCTTAGAGTCTGTTTTATAGGGATTGCATAAAAATTACTCTAATCTCCCTTGCACAGGAAAGCTCTGGTGCATCTCTGTAGTCTGTATTGCTAATAACATCTTGGACTTACATACAGTAGAAAGCAATTTCTTAGGTATAATGTTCAGAGCAGCTGCACCATGGTTTGTGGTTGTAAAGTCTTTTTAAAAGAATGATTGTTCTTTTCATTGCAGCTACCACATCCGATAAAATGGTCATTTGTTTTTAACAATCAAAAATAAACCATTTAATATTGAAAGTAGGTGCTCTGATCACTCTTACACCTAACTCCAATCCTACTTCTCCAACTGTCTCTCTGATAACTCTGGTCTACAAATTTTGGGAAATTATTGACTTCCAGGATAAAATGTGCTAATTCTCACATATTTTGATTAGATGAACTAGAGAAATCAGGTGATAATGGTGCTGGTTGGCTAAAGTTTTCAAGATATTTCGCAATAAAGATTTGTACACATTTGCCTACAAGGGAAGGAGGTGTCTGATTATCATGATGCCTCGTAATTTCTTGACAAAGTACGGTAGAACAATGAAAATGGTACCACATGGAAGTGTATAAATTTATCTTCACTTTGAGACTAAAGAGTATTACCTAATTGTAATTTATTGTTCTTTTATTGCAAGGTACATTTGTCTTGGTCAGATCTATTCATCATACAATTATATCTGGTGGCTTGTGAAAGTGTCATTGCCTAACATTTCCAAGGAATAGTTATGTGATATTTTCCCTCAGAAGCCAAGATGCCTTGAAACTGTGTAAACAACACAGATAAATTCTGGTACATTTGTGGTGAGGTTACATTTGCATCTCAAAAGTGCAGTATGATGGCAGTGGTAAAAAAGGCATACCACCTATATTTTGGGTGCAAAATAGGGGATCAGGAAAAGAGTTGGGCCCCTCATTATTGTTGTATTCCATGTGCAACTTATCTGCGTCATTGGCTAAACAAGAAGAAAAAGTCCATGCCTTTCACACTCTCAATGGTGTGGAGGGAACCCACCAATCATAGTAACGACTGTTATTTTTGCATGGTTCCCCCATTTGCAAAAGGGATCTCGAAGGAAGAAGTGGACCGTGGAATATCCAAACATTCCATCCACGCTGTGTCCTGTACCACATGGTGAGGACTTGCCAATTCCAGATTGGCAGAATCCTACTCTCTAGACTCAGATGATGATAAAGACAATGAGCAGGGTGCAGCTGATGTCATGTTACATGAAAAACCAATGAAAGTTATGTTACTGATATCAATAAAAAGATAAATTTATAATGATTGGTGTGGCACCATTCTCATAGCTATATTACATTTTGGAAAAAAGTTTTGGAGCATAATAGCACATCCCCCTCATAATTTTGAATTATTTTGATGCAATTTTTGACCTGAAGCTGTATCTTGGAAACTGGAGCCAATTAATACTCAGGACTTAATTTTACTATTAGTGACCCAATTCTGGTAAAATTTAGCTACTTTCATTTCCAAGCCTTTCTTGTAGACCAGTGTAATTTTGTGCAATGTTTTACTGTCATCTCAAAGACCAAAACTCTCTTCCAAAGCCTCCCCTGTGCATATGCTTTCTTTAACTATTAACTATGTTACCATCCATCCTGTTGAACAGGCACAAAGCATTGGCTTTAACTTTGACTCCTTTATTCCTCATATTCTGTGCATAGCTACTACTACTACAGTACACCAGGTACAGGTTAGACACAAGGAAGAACTTTCTAACTGTTAGCACAATATGGCAGTGGAACCAGTTGCCAAGAGCAGTTGTGTGCTCTCCCACACTAGAGATATTCAAGAAGAAGCTGAACAGTCATCTTAGTGGGATGGTGTAACTGGCGTCCGGCCATGATGGCCTTCTTGGTCCCTTCTGATCCTACTATTTCTATGATTTGACTAGTATAATTATTTATTAATAATGAAGGCTCTAGTAATGACTTGTTTTACAATGATTTTTACATGTCTGTTTTCAAGATATTCTCTAAACCTGAAGAGATTATAGAACAAAAACGAAAATATGATGTGTGCAGTTCTTTAATATTCTTGCCATACAGGAAGGAATAATATCTCCTGTTGATCTGGACCTTGTGATGTCTGATGGTTTAGGAATGCGATATGCTTTTATGGGGCCTCTGGAAACAATGCACCTCAATGCAGAAGGTATGTAATCTTTCTTTTCCAGTAAGGTTTCTGTATGGGAGTTTAAAGGCAAGCAGTTCAGGGCATAATATCAAGAATATAATTTTATTTATTTATTTAACTCATATACCGGCTAATACAGGGGTACTCAAAATTTTCCACCAGGGGGCCAGTTGAAAGGTGCCAGTGCTGGGCGCGGGCCAGAAAGGTGGTGCTGGTGGTGCGTGCGGGCCAGCGAGGGGGTGGCATGTGCGGGCATGCGTGCTGAGGCCAGGTGTGCGGCAAGGTGAGGCGAGGCACGGGTGGACAGGTGGGCGGGCATGGCGAGTGGAGGTGAGGTGTGGGGGCGCAGGCAGGGGCGAGGTGGGCAGCGGTGGCGGGCGCGTGCATGCATGGGCGCAGAGGGTCCAAATGGGCATGGCAGGCCAGAGCCGGCCCCCAGGCCATAGTTTGAGGACCCATGATCTAATAGTTGAAACTAGTTTACAACAGTTCCTAAACAGGAACATGAAGTAATACCAAAAAGTGCAATAACACAAAATTTAAAAATAATTTTAAAACAATTATCATCCAACAACATTTAATACATAACAAGGATATTAAAAAATACCATACATGGGTATCCTATCAAGCCTTTAGATTATCCTTAAGTATCTTTAAATGCCTTGGCACTAAAAAGATGACAAGCTTGGTGCCAGGTGGGCCATAATGGGGAGATCATTGAGAAAGCCTTCTCCCTTTTTGCTGTCCTCCGAGCCTTCCTTGGAGTTGGCACTTGGAGGGAGGCCTCAGATACTGATCATATTTCTAGGTAGAGTTCAGTTATGAGAGGTGCTTCCTCAAGGATTGTGGTTCCAGGATGTGTAAAGCTCTGTAGATTAAAAATCAGCTCCTTGAATAGTGTTTGAAAGCATAAGGTAGCCAAAGCAAGTGGGCCAAATTGGAGTTATGTGTTCAGATATTCTGCTCCTGGTCATTAGTCTGGCTGCCATGTTTTACACAAGCTGCTGCTTCTGAGCAGTCTTCCAGGGCAGCCTAATGCAGAGAACATCACAACAATCTAATTTAGAGACTGCCAGAGCATACATTACTGATGCCAGGCTATCTGTGTCCAGGTTGGGGTAGCTGGTAAAAGGCACTCTGTGGCACAGGGGCCACCTAAGCCTTCAGTGATACAGATGGTTCAAGAAGACCCCCAAGCTATCCACTCCTTCCAGGAGGGTGCAGTCCCATCCTTAACAGGTTGGGCATCCTCCATCCAGTTTGAGAAACCACTCACTAGCATCATTTCACTAACAGCTTGTATTTTAAGAATGCCAGATTTTCTGTGGTTTTTGCTATCAAGATGCTCTCGCCAATCTCCAAAAGCTGTTCCTGACATCACTATGGCAATAGCATGTATTTCATTAAAGAGCTACTTACCATACAAGATTTAGATACAGGTTTATTTATTTATTTAGAGAACTTCTATGCCGTCCCATTCGCCGAAGCCTTGGGGCGGCTCACAATCATAAATAAATAACATAGTATAAAATAGTATAATTTAACCGTATAATTTAAGTTGCCCTGGCCAAAGAATAAAATAAATAAATAATATTAACAATTAAAATAACGTTTGAATAAAAAGGTCTTCGCCTGGCACCAAAAAGCAAATAAGGACGGCACCAGGTGGACCTCTCTGGGGAGCGCATTCCATAGATTGGGCGCCACCGCAGAGAAAGCCCTCCTCCGAGTACTTACCCTCCTAATTTTCTTCACGGAGGGTTCCCGGAGAAGGGCCTCTCCCGCTGATCTCAAGGGGCGGGCGGGCATATATGGACGTAAGCGCTCCTTCAGGTAACCAGGACCCAAACCGTTAAGGGCTTTATAGGTCATCACCAACACCTTGAATTGGGCCCGGACTTCAATGGGAAGCCAGTGAAGCTGACAGAGAACTGGAGTCATGTGAACATAACTCCCAGTCCCTGTCAGCAGCCTGGCAGCTCTATTTTGAACCAATTGAAGTATCTGGACTGTCTTCAAGGGCAGCCCCACGTAGAGCACGTTACGGAAGTTGGGAAGTCACTAATACGTGTGTCACGGTCACCAGGCAGTCGTTCTCCGGGTAGGGATGCAGCTGATGGATCAGCCAAAGCTGAAAGAAAGCGCTCCTCGCCACTGCTGTAACCTGAGCTTCCAGTGAAAGCTCTGGGTCGAGAAACACTCCCAAGCTGCAGACCTTGTCCCTAAAAGGGAGTGCAACCCCATTCAGCACTAAGTTCAATTCACCTTCCCCGAAGCCCAATCTGCCAACCAACAGGACCTCCGTCTTGTCTGGATTGAGCTTCAGTTTATTGGCCCTCATCCAGCCCATTACCTCGGCCAGGCACCGGTTCAGCACAGCCACTGCCTCACCTGGATTGGTGGAGAATGAGAGGTAGAGCTGGGTATCATCAGCATACTGATGATTCTGCAGGCCACACCTCTGGATGACCTTTCCCAGCGGTTTCATGTAGATGTTAAACAGCAAAGGGGACAAAATGGACCCCTGCGGTACTCCATGGCATAGCTACCAAGGTGCAGAGCCATAGTCCCCCAGCACCACCTTCTGGAATCGGCCATTGAGATAGGAGCGGAACCACTGCAAAGCAGTGCCTCCAACCCCCAATCCCGCTAGCCTATCCAGAAGGATACCATGGTCGATGGTATCGAAAGCCGCTGAGAGGTCCAGGAGAACCAACAGGGATGCACTCCCCCTGTCCTTTTCCTTGCACAGGTCATCGTACAGGGCGACCAAAGCAGATTCAGTACTGTACCCAGGTCTGAAGCCGGACTGAAATGGGTCCAGATAATCAGTTTCCTCCAAGAGTGTTTGGAGTTGTCCCACCATCATCCGCTCCAACACCTTGCCCAGAAATGGGATGTTGGCCACCAGTCTATAATTAATGGCCATCTCTGGATCCAGTGACACTTTCTTCAGGACCGGTCGGACTACCGCCTCCTTTAAAGGGGCAGGTACCCGACCCTCCCTCAGAGAAGCGTTAACCACTTCCAAGATTCAGGTCCCAATCCTGTGCTTGGCATTGTTAATTAACCAAGATGGGCAAGGGTCCAATAGGCAAGTGGTGGGACGTACTCGTCCAAGCACCTTGTCCACATCATCAGGCCACAATAACTGAAATTCATCCATTAATTTTGGACCAGACGGCGACACTGGTATCTCCCCAGAAGCCTCTGAATCACTAGTAGAGTCTAGCTCGTGACGAATCTGAGCGATTTTCTCCCTGAAATGTTTGGCAAAGTCGTCACAGCGGGCCTTCGAGGGTGGAACCAGATCTTTCTTACCACCTGAAAAAGCTCCGCCGGACAGCATTTTGAGAAGGCAATGGAAACGGAAAAGAATTTCTTTTTCACTGCCCTCACCGCCACAGCATAGGCCCAATAATGGGCTCTTAAGTGTGTTCAGTCAGATTCATTCCGTGATCTCCTCCACCTACTCTCTAGACATCTCCCAGCCTGCTTCATCGCCCACAATTCAGATGTATACCAAGGGGATGAATGGGCTCTGCCTGGCGGGAGAGGACGCTTAGGAGCAATCGTGTCAACAGCCCTAGTCATTTCCCCACTCCATAGTTTGACCAGAGCCTCAACAGGAGCACCAGTCTTGTCAGCCGGAAACTCCCCCAGGGCCTTCAAGAATCCATCCGGATCTATCTGGCTCCAGGGGTGGACCCACACAATTGGGTCTGCACCCTTACAGAGGGGGAGGTCGCTCTCGAGCACAAACCTCACGAGGAAGTGATCTGACCAGGACAGGGGTGTCAGACATAAATTCCTCACCCTCAGACCACCCTCTTCCTGCCCGTCGAGAAAACCAGGTCCAGAGTGTGTCCATGTTCATGGGTCGGGCCAGTGACATGTTGAGACAGCCCCATGGCCGTCATGGAGGCCATGAAGTCCTGAGCCGCCCTGGTCAGACGAGTCTCAGCATGGAAATTGAAGTCCCCCAGGACCGACATCCTGGGGTTCCTCAACACCAGGTCTGAGACGATCTCCTTCAGCTCAGGCAGGGAGACTGTTGGGCAGAAGGGTGCATGGTACACCAACAGAATCCCCAATCTGTCTTGGTCGCCCAACACCAAGTAGAGGCACTCTAGCCCCGGCCTCGAAGGGACTGGAAGTCCCGTGAGGGAGATGGAGGCTCGGTAAACCAAAGCGACCCGCCTTCCCCTCTCCTCCAGGCATGGACGGTACTGAACCAGATACCCAGGCGGGCACATTTGAGAGAGGGCGACATCCCCTCCTCTCCCGCCCAGGTCTCTTATGCAAGCCAGGTCGGCCCCCTCATCCACAGTCAAGTCATGGATGAGGGAAGATTTATTGTGGACCGACCTGGCATTAAGCAGCAGCACTGTCAGGCCCGGGGGGCGGTTGACAAGACTACCTGGAACCCTCTGGCTGGGGGTAAAACCAGAAGGAGGGATAGCTGTCGGCCATCTGTCTCTCCTTCTTCTATGCTGTAACGTCCATTGCCCGTGACCACCCCAATGGCGGCGCCCACATGCTCCCCAGGTAACTCAACCGTCGACATGGCCTGGGATGACTCCATAAAAACAAATTAAAATACAATAAAACTTAAAACAGTGTAAAACTCCCCGTCTACCCCCCAAATATGAAATTCCACCCACCGACCTAGCCCCCCACCAGGCCGGCCCCACACGGCCACAAATGGCAGCGACCGTCCTTTGGCCATCGCCCTTCAGCCACCAGCCTGAGGCTGCCGGCCCCAGGCTGCGTCCGGCGGGTTAAGCTACAATTTATGAGGCTGTAGCCAGTGTTTGGTTAATGTAAGTGTCATTCATTTCAATGGATCTACTCTGAGTTGAGTCAACATTGGATATAGTCCACTAATAAAACTTGCTGTGCCATTAGGATGATAGAAAAGAGAACAGACTGAATTTTGTTCATCTAGAATGGAGAACAAGCTGCATTGAATCAACAATGGTATGATTTATTCAGACGTGGAGCAATCATTACTATTGTTTTGCCTGGTTGATTTAATCAAGTGGGAAGACGGTGATGATGAAATAATGCTAATTCATCGTTACTTCAAGGACTTCAGCTTTCCTAATTCAGGATATGCTCGCTCACTCTCTGTATGCAAACTATCCCAGAGTTCATTCACCATTGTCGGGGGAATGAATGTATTCAGGTGCTCTTCACAAAGATACTGTTAAAAGCTACAATTTTAGAAACACTTTTTCTGGAAGCAAGTCTGATTGAAGTCAATGGGGCTTACTTCTGAGTACACATCTATGGGATTGTACTGTAAAAGCCTTTGCTCTACCATAACAACCCTGCAGTTGCATTCAACTGAACTGAACATATGGCATTGTGCCAGTAGACTTGTGATTAAAGAACAAGTGCCAACAGCAAGTCAACAAGAACACAGAGAGGGAGAGAAACAGGAGAACTGAATGGTGATAGACAGAAAGGAAGCCCTCAACATTTTTTAACAAGGGAAGTATTATAAGAATATCTAATTGACTTTATGATAATGGTGAATGTTGATTTTGGGCCCAGCAAGTTCTTATCCTCAGCTGAACATTTTAACATTTTGGCATAGTGGCCCTGAAAAAAGAAATGAAATCAGATCTTTTAGTGAAAACCCCAGCAGCAATACAGTGCTGCTAGGGCCATTTTCTCATTTACCTATCTCAGCATCAGTGTAATACAAAGTACCTCCTTTGTATGTGCCTAATCTTTTGAGATTTCACATTATATGGTAAGATTATATGCTTGTTTTCAACTTTTCTGAATTACTTTGAGACCATTTAAAAATCATTTGCATTTAAAAAAAATCCTACAAAATACTTTAGGGGGAAAGTGTATGGGATTTTGGGCACTATCCAGTGGAGGTTGCCACGAGCAGTCAGCTGCACCATTCCCCTTCTTCAAACAGTGCTCACAACTTGTGAAACAGGTATAATGCTTCTAGGGAAAACCGGAAACCAACAGAAATGCTTGCTTCTGAAACAGGTCATGCCAGCTGAGCTCTCCCAACCAGCCCCATTCCAGAATCCCTGATCCAGAAACAGGAGGCGCTGCTTGCATAAGAGAATCAACAGGGCTGGCCACTTGTAGAAACAGAAGCAGGAGCGGGCCCTGTTCAAAGATGTGCTGTGCTGGGCACTGTCCCTGGTGGAATCTGATGCTTCCATGAGCAGTTCCACCAGCATAAACTCTTCATATTTCAGCCCATTTTATGCCAGCAGGACTGTTTATAGTCAGTACTTCACATTTGAATCACAGTTTGTACCGTGAATGGGGCAAATGGGAATAAAAAAATTTGTTTCCTGTAATTGCTCCTTTCTCCTGTTAAAATGCTGACACTGCAAACCTTACAGCACTAGGCAGTAGTTCTTTTTTTTGTGGCCTGTGTACATCACACAGATGGGCACTTTGCCTGCATGGAGTCTCAGTTCAGGAACCTCCTATAGCTGAGGAAATACTGGCAAGAATCCTCCCCTAGCATCAGACACATACCATTAGCAGATTCCCACCCTCAGTACCTCCTCAACCACTGTTGTGGCCACTTCATGAGGAGTTTCATCCCTTTTCTTTAAGAGAAACTGCCATAACCTTTGCTGAAGTTCATAATTCACTACTTTATTTTCATCTGCTATTTTTCATCATTTTCTTCTTTTATAAAACTCCCATCTTCCCCAGCCAGTAAGAATATTGGCCATGATGGGAACTGCAGCCCCAACACATCTGAAGGGCATCAGGATGTGGAAGGCTGATCTACACATCAAGAAATTACCATTAATATTTTTGTGGACTTTACTATTTAAAAACAGCCATAAAAACAGAGGTATGGGATCAGCACTTTTCAGTGGTTATTTTTCTTTAATTTACTCAATGTTGCAGTATACAAAAGGTTAGGGAATTCTGATTCCATAGAAAAGTAACTGAATTGAAAATATGAATTAATTGTTTTCAGCAATAAACGTGAGAATGGAAATCGAGGGCAGGAGGGGCTATAACTGTTCTACACAGTTGCATTTCAGGAAAACAGAAAGAAAGAAACAAGGCAAATAGATTTTTTAATCCAATTTTGCCATTACCTTTAATAGAGTGAGGTTATCTTTAGGTGAGTATGGACTGTATTGATTAGGGACAGATGTAGGTCTAATTCATGCATGTACATCATTTGATTTCTTTACACTACATTAGAGAAGATTACAGCAACTGAATGAATAGATAACAAGCCGCTGAATACATGAGCTGTTTCCACAGAAAATGCCTTGTGTCTGAAGTGATGCAAGCATTCTGCCTGTGGCAGCTCCTTCAGCCACCCACCCATCCAGGTCATCACTGGATGTTGCTGTAATTAAGTGACAAATATCCATGTGCAAACAAATGCTAAGTAATGTATCCTGAGCTAAAATACCCTGAGAGCAACCTGAAAGAAGGGAGAAATAGAATATTGCCTGTAATTAGAAAAAGGCTCACAATACTTGCATTCATTATGTGTCATCTTTTTGTGGTTTTTATGTGTCTCATGGACATGATTATATTCCTTTCTTCTTGACCTTTGTGACCCACATGATGTCCCATGTGTTGTTGTTAGTCGTAAGGTCATGTCCGACCCATTGCGACCCCATGGACAACATTCCTCCAGGCCTTCCTGTCCTCCACCATCCCCCGGAGTCCACTTAAGCTCACACCAACTGCTTCAGTGACTCCATCTAGCCACCTCATCCTCTGCTGTCCCCTTCTTCTTTTGCCATCTATTGTTCCCAGCATTAGGCTCTTCTCCAGGGAGTCCTTCCTTCTCATTAGGTGGCCAAAGTATTTGAGTATCTGGCCTTCTAAAGAGCAGTCAGGGTTAATCTCCTCTAGGACTGACCGGTTTGATCACCTTGCAGTCCAACGGACTTGCAGGTGTCTTCTGCAGCACCACAATTCAGAGGCCTCAATTCTTTGGCACTCGGCCTTCCTTATGGTTCAGTTTTCACAGTCATACATTGCAACTGGGAAAACCATAGCCTTGACTATACGCACTTTTGTTGGCAGGGTGATGTCCCTGCATTTTAGTATGCTGTCTAGATTTGCCATAGCTTTCCTCCTCAGGAGCAAGAGTCTTTTAATTTCTTGGCTGCAGTCCCCGTCTACGGTGATCTTGGAGCCCAGGAAGATAAAATCTGTCACTACCTCCATTTCTTCCCCATCTATTTGCCAGGAAGTGATAGGACCAGTTGCCATGATCTTAATGTTGAGTTTCAAGCCAGCTTTTGTGCTCTGCTCCTTCACCCGCATCAAGAGACTCTTTAGTTCCAACAGTGTTAACTTATACCAAATTTCCAAATAGTCCATTGTCCAGACAGCTAGAGTAATATGGTTACATTAGGGTGCAAGCCTAATAAAGCAGTGTAACATACTTCTGCTGTATAAATGTATTTAGGATTGTGCTTTAAGAATCACAACTGCATGACTCAGTAGAGTTTTTATAATTTGAAAAAAAAAATAGTTGCCTTTTTTCTGATCCTTAAATCTCCACAAAATAATTACATAGTTATTAGTCACACTCATGCGTGCATGCAGGGACGCATGCACAGAAGATACTAACCTAGCAGGTTATTAAATTACGTGAGTTTATTTGCATGGTTTTAAACCACAAGAAGATAGATTTATAGTAAACACTATGAATAATTTCCTTCCTGGAGGACATATTTTAGCAAGAAAGCAAGGTGGAATTTTTAAAAATGAAATTATAGAACAACATTCATTTAAGACTGCTGAGAAAATACTCTTGGATTTTTTTTTTAATTTGTTATAGTAGATCCTGTTTCCAGACAGAAGTGTTGGACTTCAGATGACTTATCAATTAAATTTCAGTTCTGAAAATTTGAAATTCAGTGTGTTTTATGAGTCTTTCTATATATTTAGGCTTTCCTGTTTGGGAAAATAAAACAAGAAGTCTTCAATCTATTTCAGGAATGCTGAACTATTGTGACAGATACCGTGAAGGCATGATACGTGTCTTGAGAAGTTTTGGGGCAATACCAGATTTTGCAGGAGAAACAGAACAGAAAATCAATCAGGTGTGTGTACATATGGGAGTTGACATGACATCAGGTAGAGCAGACAAAACACATTATTTTTCATCGTAACTGTTTTCTGGCTGCAACCTTTATTTATTTGCAGTATGAGAACTTTCATATCAGTTGATCCCTTTTTTGAAAGCTTAATGAACAATGAAGTATAATGTAGATCCATAAATGTTAAGATCAGAACAGTCAATTTAGTGCTGAGTCGAATGAGTTGCAAACAGTTCAGAGAGCTGTTCCTTGCAGCTTACTACCACTTTAGGTGGCATCCTTAAAGGGTACCATATATAATGCATTATAGGTGTAATAAGTTGATTTTTACCTGCCATGGATCTTCCATCACTGCATTTGCCACACATGCATTAAGGACAAGCTAGCATTGCTCCACCCAGAATCATGACAACTTGATTTTAAAAGCACCAGAGTACGTGTCTGATTGGTCAGTTATTTTGTTTTTGGTACAGAATCTATTTATATAGATAGAAGGTTCAGAAGAGTGACTACCTGGCCTTTGCTGTGGTGGCTCCCTGGTTATCAAACATGCTTCCCAGAGAGGTGTGCCTGGCGCCAACACTTTTTTCATGTTGGCACCAGGCCAAAACCTTTTCATTTTTCCAATATTTAAGTGTTAAAATGTTTTAAGATAGGTTTTTATTTGAAATTTGTCCTCTGGTACTATACTTTTATTTCACTACCCTCCTGGAACTTCTTAGTGAAGGTCAGTACATATAAAAGCTACAAATATAAATAAATAAATAAATAAATAAATAAATAAATAAAATGGGCAGAAATAGGCTGAAATGCTCAGCTATGATATATTTGGATCACTTCATTAATTGAACAGACATCTAGCTGTCCTTCTATGGTACAAGCTCTCTTGTAGATTTGACAGAAATTCCTATGTGCTATGGATGTGTTTTCATTAGTGATTTCAGAACACTTCATTTTTTCTACTCCAGGCCAATTAAACATTTCCCATTATCCGCCTTCTTGTATAATCTTCTGAGAATAACCTGTCTTACTGTTTTTGTCACACTGGCACCAGGTTCTCTGTACTTTACAAAAGCAGTGACTTAATTCCATAGCCGTACAACATCCTGTAATTTTCCTCCTAAGGATACCCTTATAAAATGGTATCTAATGAAAGAGAATGTCTGTAAAAGACAAAAGAGGACTTAAAATGCTCAACTGGTACTGCGCTGCCTAAAGGACTTAGACCTGGACTCCATTTTGGAGCTTTAAAAAGATAATGGAAATGATACTATGTAGACCTCGATGAGCAATGAGGCAAGATAAAAAGGTTCTATCTTCCATTATAGTTTAGATCCTCCCAGATCTTTTGGATTATAACTCCCATTATCCTTCACCATGGTCATGATGACTGGGCCTGGGAGTGTACTGGGGTGGGGAAGACTGGTTCAAGGGATGCTCAAGACACAAAAAGGCTCTCTTAGTTGCAAATGTGGCCGTCCTGGAAGCAGAGTGCACAGTTAGGTACTGTGTTCCGGCTGAGTTTTTTTAAAGATAATAATTAAAAAGCTACCTTAGACCTTTCTTTTTACAGAACTTTCTAGATGAAAAAGAAAAGCCTTTCACACAATATTTATGCTAGAGCCTGTCCAGCGTTTGTACAGAGATATCCTGTTTCCATGTAATAGAGATAGGTAGCCTTGCTGTAAAAGGGAACAGTCAGGCTACTGTTAACAGCAACAAAAAGAAAAAAAGTAAAGAAAACAAACTTGATGACACAGCTTGCAAGGAAGTTTTTTTTAATTAGATGAGATGGGGGCAGGTTGAGCCTTTCAAAAACGTTGCATTAAGTAGAGCATGGATATGCAATAACAACCAAAAACATTTTTTTAAAAACCTACAGGGTGATTTGTACAAGCCTGCAAAAGGTTCTGTGTTGTTCATTATTAGTGATGTCACTGGTACACTGAGTATACATCCGGCATGTACACATGCCTACCTTCCACACGGTGCTTACAATAACATCAGATGTGCTAAATGGAAAAGAATGATACCTTTCCAGTGGCAAAATGTTGCAGTGAGGAGAATGCAGGGTGTGGACAATACACTTTAAGAAGGACTTAGATCATTGAAACAAGATCAGTGATGATCAGGGAGCTGTAAGTTAAGTCCCATGAGGAAAAAGTGAAGAAAGCAGGCATGTTTAACCTGGAAAAGAGGAGAGTGAAGGAGATTTGGTGGTAATTTTCAAGTACCTAACGGGCTGATACACACAATGCAATATATTCTGTCATCCAAGACTGTATGACACAAAATTACAGGCTTAAACTACAGGAAGGCAGACTCCTACTAAACAGTAGGAAAAGTTTTCTAATGGTCAGAGCAGTGAGACAGTGGAATCAATTGCTTAGGGTAGTGGTTGGCTTTCCATTCCTCTTGATAGTCTAGCAGAGACTGGATAGCCATCTATCAATGCTGCTTTGAATTGCATTTCTGCACTGAAAATGGGTCAGACTCAGTGGTCTAACCCTTCCAGCAATATAATTTATAAATATAGTGGCATCTAGAAAGATGATGTCTAGATTCCATATTAGTTATTGTTACAGAGTCCATATTAGTTTTATTAGTTATAAAATGGTTATATGGAAAAAGTAATTTCTCTGCATAGCAAAATTGACATTTTTTCTTCTTGGTCTTGACTTTTCCTATTGCATTTTCAAAAAACACACACAGAGTATCTTTAGTCTTCAGTATTTTGAAACTCTGCATAAGCCAAATATATGCAACAAGGATTTTTTTCAATGTACACATGCTATGAAAAAAAAAATCCTTTGAGTATCCATCAAGTGAAACATGGTTGAAAACTGACCTGTATTTGCATTGAAGGAAAAGAAGATCAGGCAAGGTAAATGTTTGACTAATGTTTGGTGTCCCTTAATAATGATTCTTTTTAATAGCAAATTTATGTGGTGAGAGGCACCAGGACTGTAGCTCTGATAGGGACACCAAGAGCTTTTCCATGCAAGGGTGTTAATCTGCTATATTTTGGTTTTTTTGCAGAATTGCACTCCGGGCACTAGACAAGGAGTATTGCCTTTTGTGTTATGCCCTGTGGTATTATGGAATAGCCAAATACTCATGAGGAAATTGCATGTTCTTTCATTTTCACAATTAAATGCCACGTCTTCCCTGCTCTAAAAAATCAGCATGAGTACTGGTTAGATCCAGAAGGAAAACTGGAGGGTCACACTTTTATCTAAGAACACAAACATTTTGAGTAGGGATTGATGAGCACATATTGAATGTCTCATAAAGAAAATGGTTGAGAAACTAGACAAAAAGATCAGCATACTTGAAGAATCCCAAGTATGCAAAAGTACCTTTTTTTAATCTTAAGGCAAAATACCCCCAAAACCAAAACCAGCTCAATAAAACTGAAGCTTGCTCAGCAGCTGCAGAATGCCAAGTTACAGCTGAAAAAGAAAACAACAAATGTAACTCAGAATACCTTGTTTGTGGGAATGGCTGGCTGGGACCCCTTGCTTTTTTCTTTTCTTTTCTTTTCTTTTTTTTTTGGAGGAAGGATACCATAGAAATGGGATCTGTGTTTGCATTTCTAATTTCTTTATTGTTGATCTATAATTTTCCCTTTCTTTCAGGCAATGTGTGAAAAAACCCCAGCTGACCCAGAGCACCTAAATGCTAGGAGACGCTGGAGAGATGACTTTCTGGTGCGCTTAGCTAAACTGAAAAAGGAAATTAAATCTGATGAGATGAATCATGTTTAAATCACAGGGCAGGAGTCATCAGGGTGCAACCCTTATATAGGCAGAACTTAATCATAGAAGACACACATGCAAATAGAAGAGGCCAGTAGATCTGTGCAACTATAGTCAGCTAATTAAGGCTGCAGTCTGTTCATCTGAATATCCTCAGAAGTTAGTTCTGAAAAGATGATTTAAAACCAGTCTTAAAATCCTTGGGGCAGATGTATGGGTTTCAGTGGGAATGCTTGGGGATATATCTGATTGTGCCTTCACTGCTTTGGGCTATGGGAATGTAAGATTTAATTCACTTTAAGCAACATCCTGTGTTTCAGCACCCAGTAACTGCACAATTGCACTCCCCCAAGTATTCCCAAGAATGAGTAATTTCGGGATGTTGACCCTTGGATGTCTTCTTATCAGTATCACCTTAAATGTTAATAATGATTTAATAGAGAGTACTGATAATGTTTATTATAAATATCTGTGTGTGTGTAGTGGCCATTTACCCACCCAGGAACAGTTACTGACTGGAGAAGAATGTAGCTTTTAACTTGGTTACATCAGTTATTCTTCCAGTGGTGAGGGAACTTCAGATCTTAGCAAACAGTTGTTCTTGAATTATTGACCAAATAACTTGCTGCCCCTTCTGTTCAGGTCTTGAGTTATATAGTGATAAATCAAATGTACACCTTCTAGTAATTCTTGCAGTTTTAGAAATGTTACTGCAAAGCAATGCAAAGGGAAGAGGGGAAGATTATGTAAATTTTGCATTTTTCATCCTACAATGGAAATGGAATAAGACACCTCAGTAAAGCAGTAGGTTAAACTCCTCATGTAGAGAAGCCCAAAACATTGACCATAGACCACAGCTCTATATTCAGTATACAAAAAGTAGCAGAAAATTAAGCACAAACAAACACTACATACCATGGAGTTCTATACTGTGAGTAAATGTCTAGTAGATTAAGATTTCAAAAGAAAAAGCATTTGGCAGTTCCACTGGTTATAAACGTTGTAGCTATCAAAAGTTTATCTCAATTGTCAGAAATACAGATCCTATAAACTCAATTATTATTAATATGGCTACAGCTAATGTTGAAAGTGGCTAAAGCCTTAGTAATTTTAGGGCTTTTGTCAGCAATCTTAAGTGTGCATATTTGGGAGCAAATCTGATTACAATCAGTGGGATTTGTGTCTGAAGAATACCGTTATGAAGAACCCAGAAAAAGAACCCATGGTTTGTTCACACAGAGCAACAACCCATCCCCTGGTTACATGTGAACCATGTCTGCATCTCTGATTTCTCTCACTATTGCAATAATTTGACAGACAAAGGAGGGGGGGAGAAATCCTGGAGAAAAACCCTAACCCTATAGCCTGAGAGAGCCTCACAGAGTACTGTAATTAAAAGAATTCCCACTGCCAATCTCCATGAAAACAAACTAAAAAAAGTTTGTGTGGAGAAACAGATGACCTTCATGTGTTAATCACAATGGATGGTAGCAGCTAACTTTTTGTGAGATCAATTTGTCTGGAAGAAGACTTAGTCTGCCAGGCAAGTCCCAAAGCTAATGTTTATAGACCACAGACTGGGGAATGAACTATTGATCTCTGCAGCTAAAAGCAGAAGTTCTGTTGCATAATCTATAACATTGGGGAGTATAGCTGGTACTGCTGGAGGCTACTTGCTACATTAGATTTATCCAACAAGCAGAGTTTTTCTGTGATTCCCTCCATGTCTTAAGTGTTGTATATGATGTTTTAAGAGAATTATTGACACAGGAGAAAGCTCAACAGGGGAGCTCCTGTGCTCCATACTCCTCTTTCATCTGAAGTGTGCTTACTGGGTACAAGATACTGTAATGCCCAGCCCATTTTCCTCCAATTGGTGACCAGCCTAGACTTCTCCTTCTTGGAGGCATTTTGTGGATCAGTGCAGATCCTGTTGAGATAAGCCTTCAAGCTGGATAAGCCTTATCACTGTCCTATATAAATGGTTATATTGGGCTTTTTCTGATGGTGTGCATTGTGCTGCCTTTTTTAAAGATGAAGTTCTGATTTTATTAATGATTGCATGGTGCTTTAGGGGCCCTGTGGCTAAAAAACAACATATACATTTTAAAAACAAATCTATATCAGGAGTACTGTCCGTGCTGCATAAATATGAATCTGAAATGCAACTACTTTGTAGGCTGTAATTACAGTAACAGATTGGTTATAATATTATGGTAAAAACAGCATGAGTTTTAAAAGTTAGCAAATTTCTTTGAAAGAGAACTGCATCATGGTGGACTTAAAATGCTCCTTTGAGATCATTGCAGTGACATTACTTTCATTTTGTTAAATGTGAAAGCCACATTTGAAAAGCTCATTTTGTTCTTTTATGCTTGCTTTTGTTCTGGAATCACTGAAACTGTCTTATACAGGGGAATATATTTGTGTTTTACTTGTCAATAAACAACTGTAATGACAAATACATGTTTGTGTGATGCTTTGATGACAATATTTGAAATTGAACTTCAGCTAACCTACAGGAGAATCTGGCAATGCAGCTCAGATTATGCAGTGTTATGCAGTGTTAGTACCTGTGTGGAAATGGATTATCGGAAGGTGCTGGTATCTATGTGGATTTGACAAGCTAGATTTTTGCAGCTCATTGTAAATGTATCTGAGTTTATAACACATCAGGCCCTTTCAGACAACCCAGTTCTTAAGTTTTTATTTTTTAAAAGTTATCTATAGTCAGCTAATTATACTGATTCTTCATATTTTGAACAAATCTGTGATTCTAAAAAAATTAAGTCAAATATACTTTGGAGTTCTAATAGGTTTTGGAGGCTGATGAGCAAATGCTGTCAGCTGGAACAGAGTACACCAGCAAAATTTTTTAAAAGATATCCTTGATGAAGCAGTGGAAACTAAGTGCTAAGTGCTAATGCTGCCTTGGTTTACATTGTAAATATACAATATTAGAAATGGCCATGTCCTTCAGACTGCACAAAGTGCTTTCCCTATGAAGAGGTTTAACCAAATGTTAGACTTGCACATCCAGTAATGTTTGATAGGATGGCTTTGTCAGCTTGGAATGTTCTTCAAAACAAAGTAAATGGACATTACAACCAACCAGCCACTTAGTCATAAACATTATACATAATATATAATAGATGGGTCAGCAGTTTTGGCTCTTCTGTATGGCTTGCACCTGACATACCTTATCAAGTATGTTTATGCCATTAGCAAAATGATCCATCCAGTACGATTTTACACCAAAATAGAGCTGCTTCAATAGACACATGCATGGTTCTTCCAGCTTATCAGCCAGTTCCACACACTGTGCCTTGCAGTGAGTTCTGTTGGATTTCTAATGTATTCAGGTGTTACACATGCTTCAAAATCAGTCCTTGGCCCATTCAGAGATTTGATTTTCTCTCTTTTTTCTGAAAGCTGGGTGACCGTCATTGTCGTCCTATATCATGTGGCCCTCTACCCTCCTTTTTGCTATTGTTACTAAATAGTAGTAGAAGGAAGTACTCCAGGATGCCATTGGGATATGACAGTGATTATGCTGAAACTATTGCTGCAGAGATTGGGACTCTTCTACAAAAGGTTGACAAAAAACCTCTAGTATTTCTGCATAAACATCAACAGGTCCTCAAACCATTGTAAGAGGATATTTATTTATTTATTTATTTATTTATTTAGGGAACGTCTATGCCGCCCCATTCGCCGAAGCCTCGGGGCGGCTCACAAACATAAATAAATAACAACATATAAAACAATGTAATTTAACAGTATAAATTAAGTCACCCCGGCCAATAAATAAATAAATAATATTAACAATTAAAATAACATTTGAATAAAAAGGTGTATATACTGGTATATTGAGATTTTCCTTTCTAGTTACAGGTTTATACTTATATTTAGTCCTTTTTCTAAGATTCAACTTGACTAACATTCCTCTTTTCTAGGCTTTTTAACAATAAATTATAACAATTAAATTTTAACAACTGATTTTAATGTCTGTAACATTGTATTATCTTATGGTTGTCCCCTCAGTGGATTTGGTGGTTTCACTGTAATGACCTATTTATTTTTCTTTATGTAATTCAATTGTTTTTACTAGCTTTACTGTTTTAAGGATCCTGCAATTTTAAGTGTTGTAAGCCACCCAGAGACTCCACTTGGAGCAGGGAGTGGCAAAGAAATGTCAAAAATAAACAAATGTTACAAATCATGGGAGTGGAAGAGTGGTTGAACATTGCAATCATGATAAAAAATCAATCCAAGCCTGACTAGAATTCCAATTACTTGATTAATTTTGGCTGTAGGAACTTTTTATAATATTAAAAAGGTCTATTTGAGGACTACATATCTATGTATTGGGATTATTGGGAATTTTACTGTCTTAAACTCATTCAAATGGCCCACTTATTGAATGGCCTTTTATTAAATTGTTCCACAAATTACCATGTGGAACTAAGACATTTTGTGTAAGGAACAGAGCAGAAAAGTAATCTAGCTATTCTTTGGATATCATATAATTCTTTGACACACCCTATAAATGGGTCAGTATCAGGTTTGTTTTGCAGCTAGTTAAATCAACTTGAACCTGTTAAATGACCATCAATTCTTATTTTATTTATTTTATTTATTTATTAAAACATTTCTATGCTGCCCCATTCGCCGAAGCCTCGGGGCGGCTCTCTTCTTCCAGCAGACCAACATGGCGTCTGGGGGATTTTCACATAATCCCTTGTGGGTGCAGTCTCTGATAGTAGGTGATAAGCATTGCATTCACAGGGGATTACCATTACGGCTTCCTCCTTTTCTCATTAGACAGAGCCCTGGGAGGAGAAGCGTGATTACAGCTGCTCTATCCCTTTGAGAAGAGGACGAAGTTGTGTCTTCTGAGACCCCCACCCAGAATCTGAAGTGCAGAGAGGAGATCACCTATGAGGTAGGACTTAATGGCTTTGAACATGAATCAATAAATGGAAGTTTTCTCCAAGATGAAACCAAACTGACTTACATTCTTCAGTAGAATTGTGCTGATGAGGTTCAAGTTTTAGAAGTCAAGATATGGTTGCTTTGTTCTGCGTAGTTTAAGAGAGGCACAGCAGGTCTTACTGTGAGCTTCCATGGTGACATCTATTGATATAATAATTGACAACCATAAGAGATGAGGATGTACCAGTCACCAGTGTGACTTTCCACTTCATTCATGTTCATTCATCTTCCAGTCTCCTGTTGCATGGGAAATACCACTTAAAGCTAGTAAAGGTGCATATTCTAATGGTGAGAACAGGTTTCCTGTGCCTAGTACAACTGAACATTTTTTTGCAGGGGCATCCAATGGTATAGCAAAACATCAAAACTGGAATGAAAAGGTGAAATTCTTTTGACACCGGGGAAAAAGGATGTTTCCCAAAGCTTCAGAATGAAAGCTCTCTAGTCCTGTTATTCTAGTGAAACTACTATTTTGTTCCCTGACTGCTTTCAATAAGATGATTTTGAGCTGCTTTTTAAACAAAATCCATGCTAATTAAAATCAATGCTCTGAGGAAGAAGGCAGCGTTCCATCCTTAATTCCATCAGTATCACAAATTTCATCACATCATTATTATCTCTCATTTTCATTTTGCATTCTCAGCATCAGTACCGAACCATGAGAGTGAGCCTGCAGAAATGTAATCCTGACAAGGCTGAAGGTGCACCAGCCATTTTTTTACTTGGACTTTATAGCATTCTGCCCTGCTTGGTCTTTCAAATCCTGTAATATATTCCTGAATTCATTCCTGCATCTCAAGTTTCAGGTTTCTGGATTTGGAAACTGCCTTTCACCAATAATACAACAAACTTTTATTTCTATCCATCCCATTAATATTCTGTCTTTCCTCCATTTTAGTCTAACAATACTTTTATTTTCCCTTTCTTATTTTCATCCCTTGAAATAATTCCCCCCATATATTGATAGTGAACTTATTTTCTGAGTGTAAATTCTTGGGTGAGCAAGATGGTACAACCTGTACACAAGTGGAAACTTCCAACAGGCTTGAGAAAGCTACAACATTTACAGAAGTCCAGAAAAAAACTTTAGGAAGAGAAAACCTGAAGTGCTTTTGTGTTGGTGTGTGTACACATGGTGGGTAGGTGGGGTAGCAAGTTCAAAACCAGTCTGATGAAGATTGAACCCATTCAGTGAACATGATATGCTGACTGCCTGATCTCCAGGTTTGTATACAGAATCAAGTACCCTGACAGAGGACATAGGTGAGTTGAAGAACTCTCTAGATAGCAATACTCTGTTTCAGGTTCCAGTTGAATCTTCCATTGTTGAAATGACTTTCCCATCCATACCAATGAGATCTTCCCACTACAACTTGCAAATTGTGGGAGACATGATCATAACTGGAAACAGCCTGTTAAAGGCCCCCTCCCAAACAGCCCAACATTAGAAAATTTTCCACTGTCAAGTTAGTCCCAGGTTGGTAATTTTCCTCCTTAACTTCAAAGAGAACCTGGAATTATAGTGTTCCTTGATTGCCAACTTAATGGCCTGCTAATCATTCAGTTATTTCTTCCTAAATTACCTTGAAATTCCTGCCTGAACATGTTCTACCATTGCAAAAGGGAAGAGTTGGTTTTATAATAATGCAGGACTAAATCAGACACCTTACCATTTTGAGCAGTTTTCACAAGAAAGACTCAAAGAAAGAACAGTTTCTTTCTTTTATTGCTGCTCTTTGTGCACAATTCTGAAGGGATAAAATTGTTTTGCAATAGGTGCGAAGAACTGATTTTTAAAAACTGACCTTGACCACTATGCTGCTCTTTATATGTGTGGCACTAGATAAACCAGTCTTCAGTGATTGTAGGGGTTCATTTCCTTTGGTGTTGCTCAGCTAAAGTGTGCAGTAGTACTTATGCATGTGTAATTGCTGGCATGGGATTTCTGGGAAAGGCAGTATAGCACACTGATTAGAGCACTGGACTCTGGAGACCCAGATTCTTTGTGTAGTCAGTGACTAAATTACCTCACAGGGATGCTGTGAAGATAAATTGGAGAGGAGGAGGATCATGTAAACCATTTTGGGTCCCTCGCAGGCAAAAAGTGATATAAATGAATAAATAAATGGGCTTGAAACAGAAGAGAACTTTCACAATGGGGCTTCTTTGTTCTCTCCTCTACCTGCAGCTCCCCAGGTGGCCCCAAACATGCTCCTAGTGCAGATTTCAGGAGCAGGCAGAGTGCTGCAGGGAGAGGGGAAATCTTGTTCTACCCACAGCTTCCCTTCTGCTGGCAAACAGCACCACTGGATCCAAGCTGCTGTATTATAGGATCCTTGTAAGCCTGTGGCTGGCTTGCTAAACTTCTCAAACCTTGCTAAACACTTTTGCTTGAATGGGCAGTAAGCTTGAATAAGAAAACCACTCAAAAGAGAACACTAGCTGTGATAGGGAATCAGAAAACAAAATCAGAAGACTGTTTGTTTGTTTAGGCTCTACAGTCTAATGGAATTAGATCAAAACATATTTATAATGAAAAGGAGAAGTAAAAAGAAAGTTGTAAAAACAGTCAACAGATTAGCTTGCCAGGACTGTGGTAGTTGTTTTCCTACACAAATGTTCCTTGTAAATACAAAGGAGGCTATCTTTTCAATTACATTTCTACCTGTAAGCAGAAATTCGACCTTTTGGCAAATTAGTCCAATGGTTGTTTACAAAGATCCAACTATCCAAGTATATAAATGGAATAAATAATATGCCAGTTTTTGAAAACCACTTCCCCTACACATACAACTTATTGTTTTAGAACAGTAGGGATTTTCTAGTACCATCCTGGGTTTTAAACAACATTCATTACTGGTAAGTATTAGTGGTATTAAATGTGGTAAGTATTAAATGTGGCAGCACCCCAACATGGTCCTGCACCCTTCTGTTCTGTTCTTTTGTCCCTTGCCTTGTCATGTAGTCATGTGCATTTTGCATGCATTCACACTGTGGCATCAAATAGACAGATATTCAGATGCATCAGCATATGATATATGATACTGGACATGATAAAAATAATCTGCACAACATGGAAAAATGGAGAGTACATGTCAATGTGTAAGACAATGTAGGGCATATCTGGCTGGCAGGCATTAGGCAGGAGCTGACTAGTCATGTCCCAAGCATCTATGCAACAACGGAGGATCACCAATGGCCAGGGAATGAGCACTCTCCCACCAAACGCCCTCAGCCCAGCCTTGAGGTGACCCATCCTCACAGGTAAGGGCAGGATCCACCTGAATTTAATTGGCACTTGCAGCAGGAATTTCAATCCAGTGGGTGTCTGCCATCGCAACCTGGTCATCCAGGGTATGAAAAGGGACTGCCCTCTCCCTTCTGGGTCAATGGCCCTTTTGCTGTAAATCAAATTTATTCTTGGGAATAAAATACAGTTCTTTTTCCATCTCTCACCCTTGTCATGCTTAATTGGGCCAAATATGCCAAGATCTGGATCCCCTGAGTCCAACAACAAGAACGGTATGCAAAATGAGATCACATTCATTATCTGAACCTGATCATTTATTATATTGTCATGAACCAGCTCTCATGAAGTTTCATTAGATTTTGACTATAAAAGATTAGAGAGCAACTGCAAATGAGCCTTTGAGAAAATGCTGGTGGGCTGACAGTAGCAGCCGTATGTAGGAGATGTAAAACTGACTGCTTGCATTTTGCAAGGTGTGAGAAAATACGGGCATTGTATCTGTTTTCCTTGACTCTGTACACAGGCAATGTGCCTTACCAGTATTGCCAACAAAGTTAAGTGAATTGCTTGGATAATACGACTGCACTGTTGCTTTGAAGATTGCATGTATGGGCATAGAGATTTTGTTGTTAATAATTAGCCTGTGTTTCTTAAAAGTTCAATCATTTCTTCTGTGTATTGTTCCTTATAATCAAGTTTATGAAACTCATGTAGCATAGACACTGACTTCAGAACAGATTTCCAAGAACAGTTGTTGCAACCTCCCCAAATATCCCCCTCAAAGATTTCAGATAATTCCAGCTCAAAGTCTTCGCATTCCAATTTTGTTTCTGCACCACCACCCCGTCCCCAGCTCATGGGTGTTACATTCCAAAAACAGAAGAAAGTCTTCCAGCTGTTAAGGACAGCTGAGGTTATCATGCCAGCTTATGGCATGACTAGGACCTAGTCTCAGTAATCAAAATAGTCAAAGTTATTCCAATATGTATGATGATAGCTAAGGGAAGGGTTTAATGGGGATCTAATATTGATTTTAAAAACAGAACAAAAACAAGAAACGTGAAATACACGCCATGTGTTGTCTAATCTCATCCTGCCTTAGGAAAGATGCATTCAAATATAAACCCATGAACACAAACACAAAGGCCATAAGGATACAGTGCATGTGCACAAAATTCAAGGTGTGAAGAAGTTCCCTGGGCTCTTGTATATTATGCCCTCCTTACAAACCCAGTAATGGCACTAACAGTCTGTCATGGAACAGACTGTAACTGTGGAAGTTCATTTTTAACTTCCAGGGGTGCTAGCATATAGGGACAATTTAACGGACTTCCCTTTCCTTTCAAAATCACATGACCAAACTCAGTCTGTGGTTCTTTCTGTCTTGCTCATCTAAAGCACAAAGTATCAGACATTTTCTCCCTTGAATAATGGGTTACCTGAAGGAGCGCTTACATCCTTATATGCCCAGCCGCCCCCTGAGATCAGCGGGAGAGGCCCTTCTCTGGGAGCCCTCCATGGAAGAAGTTAGGAGGGTGGTTACTCGGAGGAGGGCTTTCTCAGCGGTGGTGCCTAAGTTATGGAATGCGCTCCCCAGAGAGGTC